CACGTACGCACGTACGCACGCGCGCACACACACACACACACACACATACACACATACACATTCTATGTCTTCCCCCACCCCCACCCCAACACCCCACCCCACCCCGCGCAAACCCAGCTGTGTCTGACCTGGCTGCGCGGGTGACTGCGCTGGAGGACCTGCTGAGGGCAGCAGAGGAGCGCCTGTCAGACAAGCTGGACTGCCTCATCTCATCCGCGCCCAGCCCCAAGGGCAAGAAGAAGTGAGGACGTGGCCGGCTCACGGGCAGCTTCTGGGCGGCTTCTGGTGGTGAGGCTGCTGAGTCGCCTTGTGTGGCTTCAGAGGCGGGATCGGGCGTGCTGGCGGCGGCTTAATGAGGGCTGAAACGAATGAAAGGGTGGTCACGACAATTGGTGTGACGGGGCACGAGCCAGCCACTTTCAAGCGGTGGCGGCGGCGGGCGCAACCGGTTGTGGGAGTAGGAGGCTGGGGGTCGCTGGTGGCGACAGGCCCCGACAGGGACGGGTGGGTACTGAGGCGGCGCGCAGCCCATCAGGCAGTTGAGCGCGCGTGCTGCGCGCGCTGCGTGCGTCGGGCGTCGACGCGGATGGCTGACTGTACCAAGCACGATACATGGCAAGAGGCGGCTTGATTTCTTGCTTTGATGGCGTGACTGTTGGATTTTAAGGTTTCAAGAGTCCGTTGAAATTCGTGCATCGTTGGCGTACTTGCCCGCCGGCAAAGGTTATTCCTGGTTGCTTTCTGCAGCGCGCGCCCATGCATATGCGCGCTCGCCGCGCACCTTGTGATCAGATCTTGCTGATGCTCAGCCCGCCTGCGCACCTTTCTTTTGCACCCCTGCACGATGGCATCAGCTGGCTTTGTTCCCCAGGCCCCATGATTCACACAATTGGCTGCCGCGCACACGCGCGGTGTCGTAAGACCAGCAAAAGAGCAAAGTCTTGATTGGCGCATGCCACGCACGTCGCACGTGCAGCGCATGCTCTGTGGCCCATCCCATCTCCGGGGTCAACTGCCACCGCGTTTGATTTTCGCTCGTGCTGCATGCACGCTTTTTTCAGAATTTTGGCGGCCGCCGCCATGCGCCGCCCTTCTGGCCGTTTCTGACGGCCTGTATGGCTTGCGGCGCCTCTGCACGAGACAATCGTTGTTACCACTGAATGTACTCCTGGAAGCCATGGGGTGAGGGGCTGCAGTGCAGCTCGCCATATGGCAGGGTCGGCTGGCAGGTGTTGTGCTTGCAGAAACGCCCCCCACCCCCCACCCCTCTTGCAGTGCAGCGCCCAACACCATCCGCAAGCATGATGCATACATGATAAGTATGCGCATGCGTTGATCTGGCGACAATATTGGGCTTGAGAAAGCCTTACTTTGACCTGCATGGCAAAGTCGCGCAGCTGGGTCGTGTGCAGCGGGTGAAATTTCGCACGCCGTGGGTTGGCAGCTGCTGAAAAGCGCCGCACCCAGCCAGCAGTTTGAACCCAAAGGTGCTTGCTTGCTTGGCGGATCAAAATCAGGGTTGTTTTCCATCCCCATAAAACAGAGTATCTTCGCAAATCGTCATGCCGAAGCTCCGCGTTTCGAAAGCGTCCACAGACCGACCTTCATCGTGAGCTTGTGTTGATGGCGCTGCAGGTTATGGTTGCCATACACACGCTTCAATTCAACCACTCTGTTTATTGCTGTAAAACAGGCCGGAGCACCTCCGTCAAGACTGCGAGGGCATCACGGATGCCGTCAAGACCGGCGAAGCCTGCCCCCTAGTGCCCTCCATCAAGTCGATAAATGCAAGCACCAAGCATGAGGTACACGGTTACAGGACCCAGGCCCGCACCGGGGCTGATCCACACGCAGTGCTGCAGGTTGCTGCGCTTGCAGGTGCAGCACGAGCAGTGCCCAGCAGGCGCAGCGCCGAGTGGTGCGGCAAGCGGCGCAGTGTTCTTATAGAGGGAAGAATTTTGTTGAGCGCAAATGTCCTGGGCTCTGTGCGTCCCCCACCACCTGCTTCCCACAAAGCCAAACGCGTACTGTACACTGCACCGAGCCCATCGCCGGCGCGCTGAGCCAGGTGCTTATGCGCCCCGGCGCACGCAGCATCAGCGCTTGCCACACGCCGCTTCTCCATCGCCCACACCCACAGGCCGTCCCTTCCCCCAGAGCCCACCAACATGCCGCCGACCAAGCCGTCGGCCCCGGCACGCCCGCTGCGCAGCCCCGCAGCAGCAGCAGCTGCAGCACCTGCAGCAGCAGCACCGCCGACGACGCCCCCGAGCTGCTGCGCTCCAAGCTGCGCGCCGCGCGCCGCGACGCCGCGGCGTTCCAGGCGCACTCGCGCCGCCTCAGCGAGCGGCTGTCAGACATGGACGAGAAAGTCTCCCTCCTAGAGGCAGACAACGCCCGCCTGCGCGCGGAGAAGACGGGCAGTCGGCCGGCGCTCAAGCGGGCAGATCCCGACCCTCAGGTCTCGGTGGTGCCGCCCGCGGGCTCAACGCCCCGCCCCGGCGCAGCCGAGGCCGAGGCCGCGGCCGAGCTGCCTGAGGCGGCGCCCGCGCCGCCGCCAGCAGGCGCGCCGCGCCCCCCCGTGTCGGCCAGGGCCGCCGCGCGCCACGCGCGCGTCGCCAAATTGCGCGAGAAAATCCACGAGCACAACCGCAGGTGCGAAGCTTTTTTTCTTGAGATCGAGGCGATGCGCGCGGCGCAGGCCGAGAAGCGGGCCGCAGCACACGCCGAGCGTGTGCGGGCCATCATGTCCGGCGGGTGGCGGCCCGAGGCTGCCGCCCCCGCGAGCGGTGGAAGAGGGGCGGCAGTCGCCGCTGAGCCCCGGGCGGTGGTCGCGCCCGCCGCCTCTGACGCTCGTATAGTCGCTGACGCCGCTGGCGCGGCGATGGCGCTGCCGCGCCGCCCCTCCAGCGGTGGCAGCGAGCCGTCGGCCTTTACCTGCGACCCCATCGCTGGAGCCAACAGCGGCGCCGGTGGCTCAGAGCCACGCCCGCTGACTCGGCTCGCCGGCGGCTGCCCGAGCAGCTGCTCCCCTGCCAGCGACGCCTACAGCACAAACAGCATCCCCCACCGCAACGCCAGCAGCAGCGGCGGCGACGTGGGCCCTACTGGCATGGGCCTGGAGACGTACCGCGCCGCCGGCCCTCTCGCGGAGGCAACGAGCGAGGCGTCGCCGCGGACGCCCGCCACGGGCGACGAGGCGGCCACCTGCAGCGACGCGGCCAAGGGCGCCCCTGGTCACGACGGCGGCGTCACCGGCGCTTTCGTCGATGGCGACAGGCGCGGCGTGCTCTCGTTCGTGACCCGGGGCATCCGCCCGACCGTGGTCAAGGCGTACGACAGCAGTCTCTTTTTCGGCACCGCCGACGCAGCTGACGACGATGCCGCACAGGAGGCGCAGACGCTTTCCCCCAGCGGCGGCGGTGATGAGGGCGCCGGGGCCGGGGCGCCGAAGCCGTACGGCCCGCACCGACGCACGCTGCAGGAGCGCGCGCGGGGCGCCGCGCACAAGTGCCGCAAGACGCTCGCGGCCGCCGCGGCGGCGCTCGCGCAGGTGTGCAGGAGCGGCAGCCGCAAGGGCTAGAAGCGATCAGCCAGCAGTTGGGGCGCAGGAGGACACACCCCTGTGGGCACCAGTCAACGAGCACCTGCCAACCAGTCTAAATCCAGGTGTGAGATCACCCCCAAGAACAAGATCACTCTCATGCTTACTTCCAAGCATTACGGAGGAAGGGGGCCCCAGGTGTGTATTAATCAAGATGTGAGCTGGATCCAACCTTGTCACATCCAACAGCAGGACCTTGATCGGCAAGTGCCCGCAGCGCCAACAGAGGCGGCTGGTCAACGGCGGTCAACGCCAGCTGAATCTTGCCTTGCCACGCACTTCAGGGTGCGTCGTGCCGTTGCTTTTGGGCACACCCTTTAGATGGGGACCTTGCCGGGCCCCTGTCTCGCGCGCGTAGCACTTGCTCCGTGCTCAAGCCTTCCTATCACCGCCATCCTCGCATGCACCTGCCGTGTCGCGCCGTCTTTCGGTTAGAATGAATGGGTGACGGCCGTCATGGCTGCACGCCGCGGATACTTCACCCGCCTGGGCCGCGCCCGAGCGCGCCTCGTGCGCAAACATGCGCACAAATTTCCCCCACAGGCCATTTCGGCCCACGAATAAGTCCAGGGCCCCTGCGCAACCGGGTGCAGGAAAGCGGGCCCACATTTTGCCGCACCCTCCCCAGTATTAAGCAACCGCCTCTGCGACCTTGTGTTCTCGCTTTCGCCCTGCTGAAAAGCGGCTCCTTTCTTTGCCTGCCCTTTTGTCTGCCACCAATCGCTGCAGCTTGCTTGCACGCCAACGCCGGCCCCCTGTGCCTCACTCCGGACTCAATGGTGAACTCACCTGAACGACCCCTTTGTGTCACCTATAACTACCCACGCACCACCTTTCCATTTGCTTTTCTTAAAAGAATGGGATGGGTGGCAACTTTCTGGTGCGCGCTGAAAAGCGGCCCTGTCTGATTGTGCATCGCTTGTGTGCATGCAGGATGGTTTTGACACATCACCTGTGCCCCTGCCGTCTGGCTCTGCACCAGCATTTCCAGCCAAATGTGGATTTTCCTTCCCCTGTAAGCAGCTCTCTGCGGCTCCCAGCCACGCGGTCTTCCTTGTATGTCGACGATCCCAGGTGGCCACCGTACGCGTTGTCTGGTGAGCCCAGCAGAGGTTTGCGGGATGCACGCCCTGCAACAGCTTCATCTGAGCTGCAGCCAGCGTGTTGATGCGATGTGCTCGCAGCCGAGCCGTGTGGTTCGGGGCTGATTCGCTGGGCGTAGGCGGGTCGGGGGAGGGGTGCCCATGACATTGATGCAGCAGCCAGTCAGGCGCAAGTAGGAGATGTCCAGGGTTCCCATTGCCCGCAATGGCCCACCTCGCTACCAAGACCCCTCAGGCGCAGAACGCTCATGGGGCGGCATGGCTGAGTCATCGCGTCCGCAACCATGGCTACCCAACGCGTACCGCGCGTCACTCCGATGGCACTGGTGGCGAGTGCGGCTGCCGGTTGGCGGTGAATCAATACAGTCGGGTGCGGTTGAACAGAATTGATCTTGCAGCGTTTTTTCATTTGGAATTTCACATCGCGGCACCGGCTAGACCAGGCGCGATCTTGGTAGACAGGTTGCTTCAAAAGCGATTTTAGCTGAAAGCTATGGCTTTGTGGCGTCGATAGGACAATAGATCCATTACCTATCGCCTCTTGCGTGGTTGCGCCCTGCGTGCTTGTGCAGCACCACGAAGAGGGTGCCGCAAGGTGTGACTCGGGCACCAGCTTTGATCAGGTCGCAGAGGGGTGCCACCCGCACGGCCATTGTGAGGCCAAAGGAAATGCTTGCTTGTGACGTCGACGGCAAACCCAACCGCAAAAACGGCTGCAACACGCGCACTAACAACCCGGGTCGCATGCACTGTCGATTGCATGCGCACCACCCTGCCCCACCCCACCCC